GGCAGGACTGTAGGGAGAGCTGTCAATGTGAACAGCACCAGTTAAGGTAAAAAGTGAGGAGAGGTTGGATGGGCTAGCCCAGTGGTCGGCAAACTCATTAGTCAACAGAGCCAATATCAACAGTACAACGATTGAAATTTCTTTTGAGAGCCAAATTTTTTAAACTTAAACTATATAGGTAGGTACATTGTTATTAACTTAATTAGGGTACTCCTCAGGCTTAGGAAGAGCCACACTCAAGGGGCCAAAGAGCCGCATGTGGCTCCCAAGCTGCAGTTTGCCGACCACTGGGCTAGACACCAGATGAGGGAAGAATAATGGAGACAGCAGATGTGAGTTTCAAGAAACAAATACCTTTCTCCTTCTCAGTAAGGGGCAACAATCAGGTCAGAGAATGGAAGAGAAGAGGGTGAGGCCCAGCAGAGTTGGAAAAATATAGGAGAATATCTAGGTGGGGCTTGGGGAGACAGATGGACCTCTATGGAGGTCTCTGAGATTGAAAGCTAAGGACAGAAATGTGTGGAGAGAACCAAACTCCCTCTATTAATTTTTTAAAAATATGTTTTTATTGATTTCAGAGAGAAGAAGAGAAGAAGAAAGGGGGAGAGAGACAGAGAGAGACAGACAGACAGACATCAATGATGAGAATCATCCATTGGCTGCCTCCTGCACGCCCCCTACTGGGGAGATTGAAACCTAGGCCTGTGCCCTGACCAGGAATCCAACCATGACCTCCTGGTTGTGGGTCCACACTCAACCACCGAGCCACACTGATACCAAATCCCCTTGAGCAGGAGACAACAAAGAGCTAACTGAATAAGGCAGTCAGAGCCAGCAGAGATGGAGGGCACAAGCTCTGGAGCAGCCACTCCTTTGCACAGGAGCAGCGTGCTCACCTGGGCCAAATGGCCACTTTTCTGGGAGGCTGGGTAAAGGAGAGCCCCTGGAGAAAATAGGACTGGACAGCACTTCACGTCCCTTCCCACCATGAGCTCCTAAGGGACTCCAACCCCCCACCCTCCAAACCCCCCAACCCTCTGTGAAGGATATGTGGCGGGGGTAGCGGCGGAGTGGGGACACCATTCTTCGGGGATCTCGCTGCACCCGTTCCACCAGCCCATGGTGCCGAGTGTTCCGGGATGAATCCAAAGGTGAGTGGAGGGGGCTCTGCCAAAACACAGAGGTGAGTCGATGGGGGAGCTGCTGAGGAGCCTGCACTGGCCTGAGGCTGGTGTCCACTCACCTGGAACTCAGCCAAGCCACAGCCAATCTGGTTCACATTGGGCAGAGAACCTCCGTAATGGGAGTTCCTTGTGTATGCCAGTCGCAGTTTTTGGGCCTGTAACTGAAACATGAAAGGCAAATGGGAACGTCAGACAGGGGCCTGAGTACTGTTCCTATTCTTTGGCCACCCTTACCATCCCTGTCTCCAGGATAGGCTACTATTGGTGCCGCTTTTAAGAGATTTGCGAGGAGGAGGAGGAGGAGGAGGAAGAGGAGGGGGAGGAGGAGGAGGCGGAGGAGAAGAAAAAATGGTGCTGGGGAAAAGCTCCACTGAGACCAGGTGTAAACAACCTGCCCCAGCTCTTCCGCAGGCTGCCCGCATCAATGACATCACCAATGCCTGGCGTCAAACACCCTGCCAAGCACAGAGCCTGACACTCTGCTCAGTTGTCATCAGTCCAAACAGAGTCCCTGAGGGGTTGCCAGGAGCCCCCAGCAAGTCACATGGGAAGAGGTGCCTATTAGGCACCTCTGCTTTCCCTTCCAGATGTGTCCCAGAGTGATTGGCAAATGAGGGAAAGGCCACAGGTGGATGCCACAGAGACCAGCCTTTTCCTGTGGCTTCTGGGCTCTGCCATTTGCCCAGCCTCAAGAAGGCTGCACAGAGCCTGCACCTCCTAAACGAGAACATCTAAGGAATAATGGCTCACGTAGCTGTAAATACAGGGCCAAAACCAAGGCACACTCTTCTACTTAGTTGTAAGGCCCCGGAATGGGCAGGAAAGCCTGCAGAATGGGAACAGGAGAGGGAACAGTAGTCCACTCTAGTCTGGGCCAGAGCCATCTCCCTAGCCGCACCCTCACTTTGGGGAGGTAAGTCTGGCACTGGAGCGAGACACCACATCCCTCATCCTGGCATGGTTTTAGTCCGGCTACAGATCTCGTGTCCTCTGTGAGTGGTGAGCACCTACTTCTGAGACTCAACCACGGTCAACAGCTAAATAAAAAGACCCAGGGCAGCTGATGAGGAGCAAATTCTACGAGCTTCTGGGACATACTGTTGTGCATAGGCTGCCCTCAGGACTTTCTGTCCCAGGAGGTCAGCCCAGTGAGTTTAGTGGGCACTATGCTGAACTTTGGACCACCTCAGGGCTGCCTATATATATATGACAACCCCAGCCTCCAAGCAGTATAGGCCTCATGGCCACATCTGCCTCAGATGAGCCCTCCCAGCTAGCCAAATACCAGGCTTACGCTCCTGGGTTCCCAGGCTCTGGCCGAGTATGCCCACTGGAATCTTACGTGCCGCAGAGAAGTGACCCCGCAGGGGCAAGGTGGGGCCTTTTGACAGACCAAGACACTACAAAGATAGATGGCCGGGCTTTGAGTTCCTCACAAGCCTTTCTTTGTTTGCACACACAAGCCCTAAGATCCTACCATGCTCTGCGGGAGTCACAGTCCAGAAGGCAGGGCCTCAAGCTGTCAGCTAGAGATCATCAGCCTCTCGCCCACCTTCTTGCCTCTGCCCCACCATGACCAAAAGCTACTCAAGGGGAGCAGTCAACAGGCAGACCATGATCCTCATGGCAGTTAGCAGGGGTTAGGCACACACACAAGATTTGCCTCCCCACCTAACTATCTCCTTTCTGTCTCCCACAAACTAGGGCACATGGTCTCTAGAGACTCAAAGGGGAAACAAACATGAAAAAGACTAAGAGAGTCGAGGGAGAGACACACAAAAATAAAACCAGAGTCAGTCCTAGACAGATGCAATCACAGTCAAATCAGGAGAAAGAGCTTTGAAATATGGTATTTATGTTCCACCATCTCCCCTTAAATTCCTTCTAGCTCCCTGCCAGGAGGGAATCCTACAATGTTCTCCTAGCCTGCTGTTTTGAGAACAATGCCTCCCTAAATTAGGGCTGCATACCAGCTGGGCGAACTCCCACCCCTCACTCCCTCAGACATCCAGTGCTGGCAGCAAGAAATCAAGGCCAGAGACTCGGTTTCAGAGGCAACTCTGCCAGGATGCCTTTTTTCTGGCTCTTCCTAGGAATTACTATTCCCTCCACATACAAGACCCTCCAAGCCAACCGGTAACTGACCCACAAAGCAGCCATCTCCTCGGAGAGCTCAGCAGACCATCGGATTCCACACAACCTATAGCCACCGGCTCCCGATTTCAAGATTCAAAGCCCTGCCTCTCCTCCAAGGCGGCCACCACGGCAAAACACCACGCACCAGCCTGTGAGCAATGGACCTCACCTTCATTCACGTCAGGAAACCACAAGAAGCGTTTGAAAAAGGAAGCAAAGGGACGGGACGCAGGAGGGGACTTCCTGCTCCACTATACCCAGCGCCGCTGTTCAAACCGCTCCAGGGGCCCTTTCCCAGAGGAACTGAAGTGCCCGGTGGCCAAGAGGGCAGGAGGACCAGAGTGGAGGAGATTGCCAACCGAGGAGACAGAGCAGGGCAAGCTGACCATCCCCCAACCCACACCCCAACCACCCCGAGGATGCTCGGGCAGAATCCCGGAGGGGACTCCATCAGAGATGCACAATGACCACCCCGCTCCGCCGGTTCCAGGGAACGGTCTCCTCCTTCCTCCCTCTCCTTACCCACTTAGCCCCCCGTCCTTCCCAAACTCCCAACCTCACCGGTGTTTCGGCCTCCTTACCCGCCCCCCCCTCCCCCGCAAAATCCGTCTTCCTGCCCCCCGGCCCGCAGCCCGCGCATCCCAGACGGCGGCGTCCGCAGTCCCGTTCCGCCTCTTTTGCAGTGGCTCCCGCCCCCGCCCCGCCTCTCGGCTACCCGCTCCGTAATTGCTCCGCTCGGCTCCCCGGCGCGGCCCCTCACCCGGGTGGAGCCGATGTCCATCATCACCTCCTCGAAGGCCGCCGTCTCTTCGGCCTGACGCTGCTTCTGCAGCGCGATCTTCTCACTAAACTTGCGTGGATTGGAAGCCGAGGCCGTGGCCGAGCCGGGCCCGTTCGCCCCCGACGTCGCCATCTTCCTCCTCCGACCCTCCCCGCCACCCTCCCAGCACCAGCCCCGGCCTCGGCCGCGGGCTCCCGATCGGGTCTTCCACCCGTAGCCGCCGCCGCCGCCGTCTCAGCGAGCACCGCGAACCCGGCCCCAGCCTAGCCCTGACCCGTGGCGCGCGAGGCCTTCCGGGAATTGTAGTTTGTTTACGTGACCCTCTCACAGCTCCAACCACGCAGTACGGAAAGGAAATGGACACCAATTCCCAGCAGCCCTGTTGACTCGGGGTACTGGGGACTTTGCTCCTCCCACTCGGCTCCTCCCTGCGCGCGGCAAGCTGGGAAAAGTAGTTTTACATTAGCCCGGAGCCTAGGAAAGCGAAGGGGAGAGGGAGTAAGGAGGAAAGGAAAAGGAGAGGAGAGGGAAGGGGTGGAGACAGGGAGGGAAGAAGGACGAGACAAAAGAGGGAAAATGTCATCTTCAGGGAAGGGTAGAAGGGCCTGAATGAAAACAGTGAGACCAGGGAGACTACTGAAACAACGGTAAACATGTGGGACGCAGGCCCTCAGGCTAGCCACTTGCCCGCCCACCCCTTTCCCAATACAAAAGAATCAGATTCCATACAGAAGTAGAGAAACATCTTTTATTTGGGGAACATGTCCCAAAACAGATCAGTAAGTAAAATAGAGTCTAGAGAATATGGCCCTGTGCCCAGCCCTACCCCCCCCCCCCCAATAACCCTGGGGGTGAACATTCCCCACCCCCCCTTGGGCTCCTATGGTATAAAAGTTTTGGCAGCTCAATGTTTATCATCTGTGGCATATGGGGCACCATATATCCATGTTCAGTATTCCTAGAGTGCAGCAATGGTAGGGCCCTCGGATCTACCAACCCTCCCTCCACCCCAACTCAACAAACATTTCTGCCCCACCCCAGAATCTGGGACTAAAATAAGGAGCAAGAGGACGACCCCTTCACTGAGGTGCTGAGCAGGGCTCAGTACATCACTGTGCTTTGAGAAAAAGGGAGGGCATTTTATTTGGCACTTTAAAAATAGAGTGAGCAGAACTGGAGAAGCCAGAGAAGGTACCAATACTGGCAGGAAGAGGCCACTTGGCACTAGTGTCTTGGGAGAAGGAAAGGAGACAGGTGTGAGAGTAGGAGCTAAGAAAATTAGGAGGGATCTACTCCAAATGACAGGGGGATGAAATGGGCTAGAAGCAAGAGAACTGCTGACTCTGGGCCTGTGTTCTCTCTACTTCCATCCCAAAGCCTCCCCAGTGTCAGTCTGTCCCTGTGTAGTGTCTGCCCAATTCTAGCGTGCAATGTCTTCCCTAATACTAATGTCTCTTGATCATGTCTCTAGTGACTTGATCATGCCTTGTCCCTTGAGCCTGGGGACCAGACTTTTGTCTACCCACTTCTTTCCCATTGGTCAAATTGTCCCAAAAGCTCCACCCTCACCTCTCAGAGAACTCTCTGGACCTCAATACTTCCCTTCCCCATTCCTGAGGAGGGGAGGTGGGTCAAGGGCACCTGGTACCCAATCTCCCCCGCCCCTCTTGGAGCCTCCTAGACTTGGATGAAGAGTAGGCCAGTAAGTAGGGCAAAGCCTGATAGGAGCAGAATGACCTTGAGGATCCTCTGGTCAGCAGTGGCCAGCTCCTGGGGCAGGATTTCCAAGAAAGTGATATAGAAAAAGGTGCCAGCTGCCATGCCCTCCAGCACAGACTGGGCCAGCTGGTGCAGTGGGCCGGCTGACTCTGCCAGAGCTGCGCCCAGCCCAATGCCCAGAGGTGTCATGCATGAGAAGAGAATGCCGCAGCCAGCCACCACCCTTGCTCGCAGGTGGCTCTGCAGCAGCCTCAGGGACAAGCTGACGGCCAGAATACCCTTATGGAGCAGCAAAGCCAGACACAGCTCCATGGCCCGGGCCCGGTCTCGCTGTAGTCCCACCGCCAGCCCCTCGAACACCGAATGCAGAGCCAGGGAGAAGACCAGTACACAGGCACGCAGGGCTGAGGGAGCTGCCAGAACTCCACTTGCCTGTGGGAGGCCTTGCCCATCATGCCAGTGCTGTGGCCCACCATTCACTGTTCCCAGCAGCGCCCTTGTCTCCTCTCGAGGTGGTGGCAGCGACTGCTCCTTGTAAGCGAGCGTGATCTGCTCCATCACCAGGACCAGGAAGAAGCCCATGGCCAGGATAAACTCTTGTAGGGGAAACTGAAGCTGTGGGCAGAGAAGGCAACAAGGAGTTTAAGAGACAGACCAAGTATGGGGAACATGAGTCAGGTGCAGAGTCCAATGAAGTCCCAGGCACAGAGATGGGGGGGGGGGTCCACACAGACACATGGCCCCTCTTGGTCACACAGATACAGAGTCACTTGGTGACACAGACACAGAATGACACACAATCACACAGATCCTGGTGTCACAGTGTTACATGTAAACAAGATTTTCCAGCTTTGGCACTATAAACATTTGGGACTACATAATTCTTTGTTGTGGAGAGCTGTCCTGTGCACAGCCTCCCTAGTCTCTAACCATTAGATGTCAGCAGCAGCACAACGCCCTCCCTCCCTAAGCTGTGACAACCAAAGTGTCCCTGGACGTTATCAAAAGTTTTTTGGGGGAGGGGCAAAAGCACTCCCAATTCAGAGTCACTGAATGACATTAGTGTAGACATATACAAAGTGTCACATGTAAGCACACAGAGTCCCACATTCTCCCGCCTTCCCAAATGCTCACACAGAGCCGCACACTGTTGCAGGAACATTCAGGCTTAAGTCACAGGGAGAAACAGGTCACTCAGTCAGACACACAGATTCTGCCCAGTGTTACTTCCTCATTCTTAGGGAAATAGAGGAAGAGCCCAGGGTGCCATCCTCGCACCCTCCCCCCTCCCCTGCAACTGTCTCAGTTTTTCCCATGAGACTTTCCTACGCTTTGGAATTATCTTCCCCAGAGCCTACTTATTTGGGCCCTTTTGGTCAGCAACACCAAGCACCTGGGATTGCCTCCCAAGCCTGTACAGACCTCTTTCTCCAACCCCTCAGGGAAGTGGTGAGGGAGTGAAGATCATTCTTGGAATGCTGTTAACTTCCCAGAGGCTGAACTGAGAAACCCACAGAGTAGGTCATATACCGGGTAACAAGGCTCCTCACACTGCTCCAAAGGGTCACATAGGGACTGGGGGGAACCCCCAAGAGAAGTTACGCCCCATAACTAAGAACCACAATTCACAGGTTCACATCCAAGTGCCTTCCACACAGTCGCAGAGTAACACAGGAACAGATCCATACATGCCAGCTCTCCTAGAGGCATGCAACTCACACACACAGCCTCACACGCAGGCAGCCGGTGCTCACCGTCACGTGCAGGGCTGCCAGGGCCTCGTCTATGGCAGACAGGTAGTCGGGCAGCAGGTCCAGGAGACAGGTGGCCAGAAACACACCCCCGGCAAAGCAGCTTACCAGGCTCAGGACTTTCTGGCGGAAGGCTGGGCAGGAGTGAAGGCCGAAGGGAATGAGCAAGGGAACCCCCTCCAGGCCCAACCCAAGCATCGGTCGCTCTCCCCTTCCCCTCCTTAAGCCACCGTCCTCGGCCCCAGAGCCTTCCCCACCCCAAGCATCCGCGGCAGCAAGGACAAGGAGCGCCTTACCTGAGGCTTCGGGGCTGGCTCCCGGTCGGCGTAGCACACAGATGGGCACCAGACTGCAGATGAGCGTGAGCACCAGCAGGAGCACCAGGGCCCCCAACTTCACCTCCAGGCCCACAGGCAGTGGGGGAGCCGAGGCCACTGCCTCTGGGCGCCACACCAGGAGCTCTGGTTCTCCCCAGGGCCCCATGGTGGCCGGCTGCTCCAGTGACTCTCAGACCTAGGAAGAGCGCGCGGGGGGGAATGGTCATGTCAGGGGCGCCGGGGAGGCAGAGCGCAGCTCCCGGGGCCGGCGCTTTCTGACCTTCCCGTGTGACTCATCCCCTCCTGCAGGGGCACAGTCCTCCTTCCCCTTGGTCCCTTCCCAGTGACTATCCAGGGGCCCAGCAAGGGGGAAACGGGGGCACGAGGACTGTGCAGCCATCTCCTTGCGCTTTCGCCTGCAGCTCCCAGAGAACGGGGGAGCCGGGGCCCTGGAAGAAAAGTGGAGGCCAGGCCCCTTGGTGGAAGGAACGGAGGAGCCGAGCGGGGTTCGGGGCTGTGCAGAGATGTCGCACGGGTAGCTCCGTGGACCCCCAGAAAGAACAAGGAGAGCCCGGCTGCCGGACGGCTCTCCCGCTCCCGTTCCCCCGGCGCCATGCCCCCGAAGACGGACAGAGGCCACTTTAAGCCACAGGCCCTCGGGGTCTGGGGTCCCGGGACGGGCTGGCACAACCACCGAGGGCGGTGTCTGAAGTCCCGGCTGCGGGAGGCGGGGTCCCTGGCCGCCAGCGTTCCGGAAAGCCCAAGTGTGTGAGAACCCGAACTCCAGCTCCCAGGCCCCGGCCGGGGCGGCCCACGGGAATCCCACCCCCAGGAAAGCCGCGCTCACCTCGCGAGGGTCTCACTCCATGGCCCCCGCCGGGTTCCGGCCTCCGGTCGGGAATTCCCGCCTCCCCCAGCGCTCCGCTCACCCTCCACCCCCACAGCCGCCGCGTACCAGCCCCCGCCGCCAATGACTGCTCCTGGGGGGCGGGACCAGGCCGGGAGTGACGGGCCTAGGGCCAATCAGAGACGGGCAGCGGGAGCTGGGTGGAGGCGGAGACCGGGGGAAATGTGCCGGAGCCTGGGAAGGAGCTGGAGGGAAGGTCGAGGGGCTGAGGGCCCGGGCTGCTGCGCTGGAATTCTGATGGGCGGAAGCCGGCTGCTCAGCAGAGGCTTTGGTCTTTTGGACGTTCTAAAAGAGAATGCTAGAAACCTCGCGGACATGGCTGATGTCCCATACGCACCCCGCAGGCCCTGGTCCTCCGCCTTACTCCTCTGAGTATGACTGCCTGGTCTTGGACCCCTTCGGTGCACCCCGGCGCCAAAGGGGAAGCCTTACCTTCTTAGTGTGGCGGGCAGTTAGACGTGAGCAGAGCAGGAGGATGGGCCAGGTACAGAGGGTCACCAGGGCCCAACCCTGTTTGCTCAGTGGATAGAGCGTTGGCCCAGACTGAAGGGTCCTGGGTTCGATTCCAGCCAAGGGCACGAACCTCAGTTGCAGGGTAGATCCCCCCTCCCCCCTCCCTGACCAAGCGGGAGGGAACCAATCCATGTCTCTAACACCGATGTTTCTCTCCACCCTCCCCCCCCCCCCCAACACACACACACTCTCTCTAAAAATCAATGCAAAAATATCCTGGGGTGAGGAGTAAAACAAAAGGTTACCAGGATGGAAAGCTCCAGGTGCCTAGCAATGGATAATTAAGTGTAGGGTGGACCTCGCCTCGTGCCTTTCCCTTCCTTAGCATATCACTGGTCGTGCGGTATGGATCCCTTGACCTTTCCTCCTAGAGATAACATCTGGGCCTCAGTTCTATTTCAGCTCTAGGTCCAGATAAGCCAGCGGTTCTCAACCTGTGGGTGGAGACCCCTTTGGCGGTCGAACGACCCTTTCACAGGAGTCACCTAAGACCATCCTGCATATCAGATGTTTACATTACAATTCATAACAATAGCAACATTATAGTTATGAAGTAGCAATGAAAATAATTTTATGGTTGGGTCACCACATGTGGGACTGTATTTAAAGGGCCAGAAGGTTGAGAACCACTGAATAAGCAACAAAACTAGCCACAGGGGACTTCAGGCGCAGCTACATTGACTAATGACCCCCCACCCCCTTGTTGGCCAATCAATCAGTGGAGACCACAACCCTGAAAGGACACACCTGGAAAACTACTGAATATTTTATTAAGATCTTTCCCTGGGACCACCCCTAAAATCTCCTTCCTTAAGACCCGCAGGCCAAAACCAGTTTGGCTCAGTGGATAGAGCGTCGGCCTGCGGACTGAGGGGTCCCGGGTTCGATTCCGGTCGGGGGCATGTACCTGGGTTGCGGGCACATTCCCAATAGGAGATGTGCAGGAGGCAGCTGATCGATGTTTCTCTCTCATGGATGTTTCTAACTCTCTCTGTCTCTCTCCCTTCCTCTCTGTAAAAAATCAATAAAAAAATATATTTTAAAAAAAAAAGACCCGCAGGATGGAGGACTGTGCACGCACTCTCCCTCCCCAGAACATGCCCATGACTTTCCCTTTCCAGCCCCTTCTTCATCCCCCCAAGCTTCCTCACTCCCAAGCTCCAAGGGCCCTAACTTTACCTCTAGAGCTTGTTTGCTAAATCCATTTCTTCTAGGAATTACTTTTTCTACCTCTGTAATTTACCCAAATGTTCCCTTGCAGTTTGGGTCTTACTATATCCTCTTGGCCCACATCCTTGTGCTATCAGAATCCTCTTCTAGCCTCATGAGAGAGAAGGGGACAAAGCAAAATAAAGAAGGGGCTCAGCCTATTCTTCTTTGCAAAGGTGAAAAGGCCTGATTGTGTTAGGACTATAGGACAATATAATGGCCATTTGTAAACTTCCTGCCACAGGAGACAAAGGCCAGGAAAAGCTTTCTGGACACCAGGAATCAGACCATATAAGGAACTGAAACTGTCCTAAAAACACGTGAGCACACACCTGCATTCCATCTCCTTCCAAGCCACCGACTCAGTCCCCAAGTCCACTGACGACAAAAGTTTCCTGCCAGCGACTACATAGAAGGATGAAACTGCAGCTCCTGGGTGCTGCCATCATCGACCCAATGTCCCCTTGGCTCAGTGCTGTGCAGCCCTTCCCTTTGGGTATCCCATCCCTCATCCCCTTTTCCTAAATAAAATCATTTTTTCTTTATCCACCATCTGAGATGGTTATTTAGCCTGCAATGACCGACAGAAGGGACCAAGTGATGCCTTTGGAAATGAAAGCCAGCAACTTCCTTAAGAAAAGGGGGAATGTGCGGACTTCTTTATTATTCAATGCAGCTGGGCCTGATGCCCCCTGTGGCTAGTTTTGTTGCTTATCTGGACCTGGAGCGGAAATACAACTGAGGCCCAGATGTTATCTCTAGGGAGGAAAGGTCAGGGGATCCAAACCGCAATATATATATATATATATATATATATATATATATATATATATTTTCCTGGACACCAGGAATCAGACCATATAAGGAACTGAAACTGTCCTAACAACACCTGAGCACACACCTGCATTCCATGTGCCTTCCAAGCCACCGACTCAGCCCCCAAGTCCACTGACGACAAAAGTTTCCTGCCAGCGACTACATATAAGGATGAAACTCCAGGTACATATATATTGATTTCAGAGAGAAAGGAAGAGGAAAGAGAGATAGAAACATGAATGATGAAAAAGTCATTGATCATTGGGGGAAAAGGAGACATATGTAAAACTTTAGACAATAAATAAATAAATAAAATCATTGATCAGCTGCCTCCTGCATGCCCCCTACTGGGGATCGAGCCTGCAACCTGGGCATGTGCCCTGGACTGGAATTGAATCAGGGGCCCTTCAGCCCACAGGCCCACGCTCTATCCACTGAGCCAAACCAGATAGGACTGTGAGGACTTCTTGAGGGATGTAGTCTAGGAGGAAGGAATCATATAGACTCTAAGATCAGGATGTAAATGAAATGGGGTACTAGTGTCTCATCATTTATAATAATTATCATTACTCTTCCAAGCTCTTAATTAAAATGACTATTAGAAGCTACTCCAGATTGTTTGAGGGAATATTATGCACACTATGGTTTGTTTATGGCAAATTATGCTTTTAAGGTTATTGGTAATTAGTAATATTAAGAAAGAATCATGGACTGGGAGTTAGGACACCTAGGTACTAGTTCCAGCTCCACCTGAATTTGGTGTGTGATTTCCCTCTTGGGAGCTTGATACATCTGGTGGAAGAGAGAAGGTAGACTAGCAGATGATGCCAGAGGTTCCTTTCAGTTGTAACATTAGTGGAAGCTGACTATATTTTCCACTAATTATCTCTGCACATGCAGCGGGGAGGAAACCCTTTGAAAGCTCTCTTGCTCTGGGAAAAATCTAAGCAGGGACATTTCTGTTTTCCTTGGAGCTCTGCATCAACCTAGGAACCTGCTTTGTCTTTTCATTACTTGAGCAAGATGCAGGATGAGCAGGCAAAGACACGGGGGAAATTTGAGAAAGTTCCAGCAAGGTAGTTTAGTGTAGTGCAAGGAATATGGGCTCAGGCGCCTAAAATTTGGTTAAACTACTTACAGAGTAATCTTGAGAAAGTTCCTGAATTACCCAGTAAATAGGTCCTGTTCCTGTCTTTACCTTCAGCCCACTCAAATGTTCACGATAATACCAGTTTGAATTCCAGATCCACACCCCAAACTTTCCTGTTTTTATCCGACGTATTATTAGGGAGGCAGGCAAATGAAAATACCTATATCACTATAGCCTCATTATTTTATTTAAAATGAATTCCTGCCGAACCGGTTTGGCTCAGTGGATAGAGCGTCGGCCTGCGGACTAAAGGGTCCCGGGTTCGATTCCGGTCAAGGGCATGTACCTGGGTTGCAGGCACATCCCCAGTAGGAGATGTGCAGGAGGCAGCTGATCGATGTTTCTCTCTCATCGATGTTTCTAACTCTCTATCTCTCTCCCTTCCTCTCTGTAAAAAATCAATAAAATATATTAAAAAAATAAAAATAAAAATAAAATAAAATGAATTCCTGCCCTGGACGGGTAGCTCAATTAGAGCGTCATCCCCATATGCCAAAGTTGTGGGTTCAGTCCTCAGTCAGGGCACACACACAAGAATCAAGCCATGAATGCATAAATAAATGGAACAACAAATTGCTGTTTCTCTCCCTCCGTTAGTCAACAGTCCCTGTGTGTATGTATAACTGCCGTTCTTCATCAGTAGCAGAATGCACTGATTACGGATTTCGACACCGCGCGATTGCGCGACTTCCCGCCGACTGAGCAAAACTCTGTCACTCGGGCTAACAGGATATTTTCTCCCTGCCTGGATAATAACCTGGGTTTACGAGTCACGTGACAAGCCAACCCGAACCAAGCCGCTCCCCACATTCCCGCAACTTTTGCCCTTCCCTACAATTCATCTCCAGGCGTTCACCCGGACCTGCAGAACCCAGGCCCCACGGGACCAATAAATGCTCCGGCCCCATTTTCTCTTGGACAGACAATTCTGGCCAGTTACGGCGGCGCCGGCGCCCAGACGGTAATCCCATTGGCTCAGTGCTCTGCCCATCAAAACCGCTACGTCTTCGGCTTCCAATCAGACTCAAGCGTGGATGAGCGCCACAGGGTGGAGGAGGGGAATCCCCTGTAAATCTTGGCAATCCAGTGGACTCTCCCGCCTTTGTTTTCAACCCTGCCTTGTTCACCTTCTTATAAAAGTGACGGCCGGAGAACAGGCACTCGGACATCCTGTGCTGCAGTCACAGCCATCTCTGTGCTGCCCTGAGGAGCCTCCTCAGGAAGATTTGCTATTGCTAGGAGACACTGAGGCAGAAAGGGCGAGGCTGACTATGTTGGTCTCAGGTCACGTTTGTGGACGCTCAGCCTCTGAACCAGGGGTCCTCAAACTACGGCCCGCGGGCCACATGCAAATACAAATATTGTATTTGTTCCTGTCTTATTTTTTTACTTCAAAATAAGATATGTGCAGTGTGCATAGGAATTTGTTCATAGATTTTTTTTAAACTATAGTCCGGCCCTCCAATAGTCTGAGGGACAGTGAACTGGCCCCCTGTTTAGAAAGTTTGAGGACCCCTGCCTGAAGTCTCTGCTCCCAGATTCAGCGCCTCTACCGTGGCTCCCGACTAGGTGCAACCCACTTTCCTAGTGTAAGGCTGGGGGCGGGGTTTGGCTGGGCCGGTCCAGGATGCAAGATCCTGGAGGGAAGAAAAGGTGTACTGTTTGGGGTGATCAGCGGGCTGGGCTGGCTTGGCAGGGCTAGGATCTTCAGAACAGGTAATGACCCGGAGGCCTGCTCGTCTGAACCATAGATAGAAGGACAAGGCGAGATCTCCAGGTAACAGGTGAGGGGGCTGCATAGGTGAGGAAAGGGAATAAATGGAAGAGCAAGAGGAACCAGAAGCTGTGTGTGTGTGTGTGTGTGTGTGTGTGGTGGGGGGGATGGGGGGACGGGGGCGGGAATGGGGGGAGCAGCCATCATCGTCCTGCAACACTCCCACCCAACACGCCTCCCTGCAGGATGGATTTTGGAACCCCTGACCTGCTGGATGTGTGGCTGGAGCCCCCAGATGATGTCTTAACAGGACCCTTCCTGGAGCTGGGACTCCACTGTCCACCTCCCGAAGTCCCAGTGACTATGCTACAAGAACAGGGGCTGCAAGGCTGGGAGTCCAGTGGGGCCCATGCCTGTGTGAGTATGATGAATGGAAGCGGGGGTGGTTTGAAACACAACTCTGGCCGAAACCGGTTTGGCTCAGTGGATGGAGCGTCGGCCTGTGGACTGGGGGGTCCCGGGTTCGATTCCGGTCAAGGGCATGTACCTGGGCTGCGGGCACATCCCCAGTGGGAGATGTGCAGGAGGCGGCTGATCGATGTTTCTCTCCCATCGATGTTTCTAACTCTCTATCTCTCTCCCTTCCTCTCTGTAAAAAATCAATAAAATATATTTAAAAAAAAAAAAAAAAAGAAAGAAACACAACTCTGATAAGAAGCCCAAGAGACTTCAGCCTACACTTGGAAAGTGGTCTGAGACAGTACCCCTAGAGTAGAGATAAACTGTAATTATCCCCATGTCCAAGGACAGAAAGGACTGAAACTGAAGCATGAAGGATCTAGGTTTGATGTCAGAAGGACTAACAGAATTCTTCCCTGTATACATACACGCCCTCTTCTGATGTAGGGCCTTCAAGAGAGTGAGCCTGAAGATTTCCCGAAGCTTTTCATTGATCCCAATGAAGTGTACTGCTCAGAAGCATCTCCTGGCAGTGACAGTGGAATCTCTGAGCACCCTGGTCGTCGAGACAGTCCCCCTGTCCCCCAGGCACCCAGTTCTCCTGCCCTCTATGAAGTTGTTTATGAGACAGAGGCCCTGGAGAAGATGCAGGAGGAAGCTGGGCCAGCGGTGGGCTTCATCTCCATTCAGCTAGGTCAGTAGTGTTATGTGGGAAGGGGACAATCCAGCCCTGGCGCTGGAGTTAAGGCGTTTCCCCGACCTGTGCCTCTACCCAGGCCCTCCTGCCAGCAGGGTGTACCTTCCATCTTGTTCCTCCCAGCCACCTGTACTTTCCTTAGATCAGTGGAGCCCACCTTTTATGACGCCTGATGCCTGCATGGTCAGCAACGTGCCCCTTGATGCTCATGCCCACATCCTGCCCAGAGCAGGCACTGTAAACCCAGTGCTTCCTGCCACCCTGGTGAGTCTTGGGGTTGGCCTAATCCATCCCCCCTGATACACACACATATATCCACACAGATTGGGATAAGGGAGGGGGAAACTGATGCTGAACTCTGTCTTTGCCCTAATGTTTTTGGCATCAGGCCTGAAAGCCAGGGAGACGTGGGCAATTAATTAATTTTTATTGATTTGAGAGAGAGAAACATCGATTTGTTGTTCCACTTATTTATACTTTCATGGCTGGTTTTTGTATGTATGTGCCCTGACTAGAGATTGAACCTGCAACCTTGGCATATAGGGACAAAGCTCGAACCAACTGAGCTATAGGGCAGACTTGGGCAATTTAAAAGCAGGAAAGGATAAGTGAGACAGAAACACTTGGGAGTAAGGCGATGATGACTCAGTTAGGAAAAGGTGGGGTGAGAGAATCCAGGGATAGGGCTCAAGAGAAAGGCCAAACCTTGTGTTCATTGTTTGCTTAGCTATTGTCTCAAGTCTTGGGTCAGGACTCAGAAATGGGACAGGCCACCTGGGAAAATTGAACTGGTTACTGGGCACAGGGTGTAAGGGAAACAACTGCATTTATGTTTCCACTGGAACAATTGTCTAGCACGCACCCACTGCATGGGGTGGCGGGGGAGTAACACAGTAGATAACTTCCCAAGGCTACCTGGTCTGCTTCCTCCAGGGGGTGAGGAGGGGAACCTGCCTTTATCCTGGAAAGAACTTGTTGCATGCAAAAGGCAGGGAACAGGTTCTAGCCGCCCTGCAAATCTGTGGTTGAAGCTGGACCAGCAGCCAAGCCAAGCATCTTAAAATCTTAGGTTGAGGGACCTTAAAAAGTTTGATACGTCTAAATTTGACTGTGCATCAAAACAGTGGGGAATTTGTGGGTTTGTTTTTTAATATTTTTAAAATATTTTTATTGATTTGAGAGAGGAAGGGAGAGGGAGAGAAATAGAAACATCAATGATGAGAGAGAATCATTGATTGGTTGCCTCCGGCACATCCCCTACTGGGGATCAAGCCTGCAACCTGGGCATGTGCCCTTGGCTGGAATCAAACCCAGGACCCTACAGTCAGCAGGCTGATGCTCTATCCACTGAGTCAAACCAGCTAGGGCGGTTGTTTTTTAAATAAAACTTTCTAGGCCTCATTCTCACAGATTTTGACTAGGTGGATTGGGAGGGACACCTTTCTAATATAGTTCCACCAAATAGTCACAGGCACAAGAAGGGAGCATCAGAAAAAGGCAGAGACAGAAGGAATGGTTCAGTTAAAAGCCAAAGGCTATCAGGGCAAAAGCAACGCAAATTCCTAAGACACAAAGGAAAGCACAAATTTTTCAAAAGGTAATTGGAAAGGCAAGTCATTCAGTTGATAGACTCACATTAACCAGACACTACTCTCCCCACATACCTTTTTTCTTTAGGTCTTTGTCTGACAGGGGACAGAGCTTTAGTCTGAAAAGAGGGGATCAGACCCTAGGGGAGAATGGGCCACTGCCCCAGGGAGCTCACTGTGATTGACAGGTGACTGGATAACACACTCTGCCAAACAGGAACAGCTAAAAGCGAATCGTTTGCCTGCTGGAAGATTGGGCAAACCCGACCTTAGTGAGCTACTCCACATTCTCTTCAAATACTCCTGTTTGGGGAGATGTGGATCAGAGACTGCGGTCAAAGGATATGACAAAACCAACTCTTCTCTCCCATCTTCTCTCAGGAGGTCCCCTGAATTAAAGTCCCTGCCCTCACTTCATTTCATGGTTAGCTATTCCTCAGTGCAAATGGAAAACCCTATAGAAGGCATGCACGGGGAGCAGCCTGGGTGCCAAAAATGGGATGACCCTCTCCCCACTCTCATCTTCTGTGCCCCACCAGCTACCCTGTCAAGCCTTGTTCCTGACAGATGAGGAGAAGCATCTGCTGGGGCAGGAAGGGATTTCCCTGCCCTCTCACCTGCCCCTCACCAAGGTAACATGCTTCCCAAAAGGGTATCCCAACCCAGTGGCCCACCATGGCTCTGAACAGCCAGGATCACGGGGGAGAGTTGGGGCACTGGGGTAAGTTAAGGGCCCAGGACTGATACACCTTGGGGCCCAGACAGAGGAGAGGGTCCTCAAGAAGGTCAGGAGGAAAATCCGTAACAAGCAGTCAGCTCAGGACAGTCGGCGGAGGAAGAAAGAATACATCGAGGGACTGGAGAGCAAGTATGTTTGAACTCACATGTCTGGCTTCTGGTGGGCCAGGCCCGAGTCCTCTTCCTGACCAAGGGAGGTAAGGCCAGGGACGCACATAATGGAAGAACCCTGTCTTGCCTTTCCACACTCCTTAGGGTAGCTGCCTGTTCTGCACAGAACCAGCAACTACAGAAAAAAATCCAGGAGCTGGAGAGGCACAACATGTGAGTGAAAGCATCGTGTGCATGTTCGAGGAGGTATGCAACACAGGGGCACCATTCTTGGACCCTACTTCCCAGATCTAACTCATCCTTCCTCCTTTCCCAGGTCCCTGGTGACTCAACTCCGCCAGCTGCAGATGCTCATTACTCAAACTTCCAACAAAGCTGCCCAGACCAGCACTTGTGTTCTGGTACCATTAGTCTACTTCCCATCTCCCCCCACTTCCACCACCTGACACACGTCCGTCCTGATACCCCTACTCCCAAGCCATAGGAATCTTCCCATCCCTGATGGCTCCAACTGCCCTCTATTCACGTACTTTATTGTCCCCACAGCCCAAGTGTCTTCTGCTTCCTCCCAGATCCTTCTTTTTTCCCTGGCTCTCATCATCCTGCCCAGTTTCAGCCCCTTTCGAGGTCCACCAGAAGCTGGGTCTGAGGATTACCAGCCTCATGGAGGTGAGAGGCAAGGGCAGGGAAGGACTTTTGACCTGGTGAGCAAGTGGGGTGTTCTCCAGGTAGTTAAGAGGTGGGAGGGAGGGCCTGTCCTGTCTAGGAATTCCCACCCAAGGGAGCACTCTACTACTGCCCTTTTTCCTTCACCCCACAGTGATTTCCAGAAATATCCTGATTCACAAGGACGCAACAAAAAATTGGGAGACCCCAGAGGTAGAGTCCAGATTGGGAGAGCCACCTGGGATCAAGAGTGCAAATGGCTCAACAACGACGCTGCTTGAGAAGACGGGAGGGAAGACAGGCCCCCGCGGGCTCCTTAGAACTGTGCTGCATGCAGATGAGATGTGAGCGGGAGCACTTCCTAGCCCACCCCTCAGTCACATGAGGAACCCAGGGCTCTCCACTCTGCTTTCCCCTGGGATTCCCACTCGGGGTTCTTTGGCCTCAGGATTACATCAGGATGCCCTAGATGCCTGTACCCTGAGGCCATCTGTCTGTGTGAGGTGGCACCACAAATACTTTTATTATGTATCTGTGATTTTATTTCTTCTTTGGATGTAGGGTTGAGGAAAACAGACGTTTTTGCTAATGAAATAAACGTTTTTTGCTGAAATTTTATTCCAGTTTTAAATAAGTAGTAGAAGGGGGGAAGATAGGTACTTGATAAAGTGGGGCCTAAAGTTGCCACCCCAGTTCCCTCTCTGCCTTCATATCTTCCTGCCCCAAACCAAATCACAATAGAGAAGGAAACTATTTTACTCTTTTTATTCTGCTCATTGATGATCTAGACGAGGAAGACGGAAGGGGTTTTGTTTGTTTGTTCCTCCCACTCCCCAAAATACTAGGGGCACAAATAAGTCCATTCTATTTTCTCTGTTGGAGGTGGGGTCTTTAAGACCCATATACAAGGGTAGAAGGTAGCTATATGGATTCGATTTGCTTCCGGACCTTTTCCAGGGCCCTTCTGTCCAGTTGTCGCTGGCGAATGATGACAAGGCAAGCGAAGACCAAGGCTACACCGATGACAGTCCCTTCAAATTTCCAGAATAAGTGTTGTTCCATCAGCGCCGAGCGACAGCTGAGGGTAGGAAGAAACAGTTATTCCCAGGGAAGGCCAGACAGCCTCTCCCTCTAGCCTCCCTCTGCTTCAGCCTAACCAAGACACAACATCTGAGGGGAAAAGAGAAAACCAAAGTCAGTCTACTGTGCTCACACTGCACAAACCCCATGCAGATATACCAACTTATTCTCTGGTGAGGCAGGCAGAGCAGGTATTAAACAATTTTAGTAATGAGAAGAAATGGCCATAAATATAGAAGTCATTTGGTTCCAAATCCCTTCCTCTTTCCAATGTGCCATACTACCTCCAGACCAAGAGGAAGAGGTGGGACTATCTACCTAAGGTCACAGGAGCAAAGGAGGTGATCTAGGAGGTTTCCAGAGGAGAAACAGCACTTGCCTTTTGAACCCATTCCTCTTAGATAAGCTGCATGTGATTTTCTCCACATACCCTGTGGAGCCACATTCAGGGGTGGTTTTCTGCCGGGAGAAAAGGACCAAAGCACACGTTAGGAAGGGGCCAGAGGAGAAGCAGGCCGGCTGCTATTCAGAATGGGCAGGTGCCCAAGCGCTACGGCTCAGAACCGGGAGGTAACTCGCGAAGAGTTCTAATGGGGATGGTGGACGCGGTGGCTGCACGATTAGGAATATGTGTTAGAAAGAATATTTCAAAAGCGATCGTCTGTCTAGGAGAGGCGTGGACAGGTCCCAGAGTCTACTGGATTCAAAATGAACAGGACACGGTTATTAACTCAAAGTTGCCATTAGCCTGGAAAGAAAAGGGGACATTTACAGGGGAAGACAAGTTCATATGTGGACATATACAAGGAAAAAGATAAAAGACAATGAAAGGCATACTCAGGAAGACTTAGGGGCTGTGGTGGAAGCGTGAGAGAAGCCAGTTTCATTTGCAAGTATCTCTGAGCTCGCTGAGTAGACACCATGAGCAAAGCTCACCCCCTGAGGTAAAAACATTTATGGAGCCCTAACCGGTTTGGCTCAGTGGATAGAGCGTCAGCCTGCGGACTGAAGGGTCTCAGGTTCGATTCTGGTCAAGGGCATGTACCTTGGTTGCGGGCACAAACCCAGTAGGGGGTGTGCAGGAGGCAGCTGATCGATGTTTCTAACTCTCTATCCCTCTCCCTTCCTCGCTGTAAAAAATCAATAAAAGATATTTTTTTAAAAACATGTATGGACAAGAAGTTATCGTTGAAACTAAATGGCGGCTGCCCGGCCGGTGTGGCTGGGTTGGAGCGTCATCCCATACACACAAAGGAGGCAGGCTCCATTCCGGGCCAGGGCACATACCCAGATTTCAGGTTCCACGTCACATCAAGGCTTCTCTCTCTCCCTCCTCTGCTCTCTAAAATCAATACCTTGGGTGAGTATTAAAAATAAAGGAAAAACAAAATAAACGGTAGCAGACATGTCCAAGGAATAGTGCCAGGATTTGACCCCTTTGTGACTCTTGTGATGGATGAATGTGTGGAGATGGCAACAGCGGGCACCAGGACCCTATTGGGATGGTGGTCACACAGGAATCGGTGCCATGTCAGAAGCCCGGGCACGGACGTGAAGAACGGCTGTGTTCCTCGGAGAAATCAACTTGCCTGCACCTGTTTTTCTACAATATTAAAGCCAAGTCTTGGACGTTTTCCTATTGCACTTTTGTTAAATGAGCTTTCGCATTGGTCAAGATATAAAACGATGTAGGGACTGATCAGATGTGAGAAAAGGGGGGGGAGCAGATACTCACAGCCTGGAAAGTAGAACACGGAGTACACTCTTCTGCCACCACGAACTCCTCCGCCATCCAGCACGGCAAGCCCGAGGTGCTCACTAAAGGGGAGAAAGGCAGCCCCAAATCTCACTCGGAAAACACTCCCCCAAAGGTGCTGCCCATCCCACCTCCCAGCACCCTGACGCCCTCGGTCCGCACGGGGCGCCCTGGGCCACCTGTGCTCTCGGTGCGTGGGAGGAAGTCAGGACAGAAACCCCGGGGGCGCCGGGCTCCCTCCCGGACCATCACCCACCTGACAGCTTCTCCTCCCGCACCGGGGCCTCTGCTTGGCTGCGGGGGACAGGGGGGAAGGGGCAGACGTCAGAAGCCAGAAAACAGGGAACCCCCCACCGCGCGGTCGCGGGGCGCAGTCTCCCCCACCCCGAGGGCAGGGGCTATAGCCCGTCTCCCGCTCCCCCTCCCCCGGCGCCCAGCCCTCACCAGAGCTTTAAGGTGAACGCGCAGAGCAGCCAGCAGAGGCGGCGGCCCGGGGGGAGGCCACGCCTCCCCGCCCCCGCAGGCATGGAGCGCTCCGGGTCGCCGCCGGGACGAGGAGGCTGCTTCCCTGGGCTCGCGCCGCCGTCAGAGCGCCGAGGCGCCGCCGACCCCGCAGCGCTCCGGGAAGTTCCAGGTCAGAACTGCGAAATGCTGGGGCAGCCTCGGATCAAAGGCTCTACTGGGAGGTGCCCATGGCCCGGACGAGAAGAGCCAATACGTCCAATACGCAGGGCGGGACGGCCCTAGCCGCCCCTCGCCTCCACTTCGGCTCCCAGCGCGGCCATCTTGCCCAGTGAAGTCTCCTAGGTGTGGGCCCGGTTTCCCTGAGCGGGGCGGGGCGGGGCGGGGCGGCGCAGGCGCGGGCGCGCGCGTTGCTTGCTGGGCCTTGTAGTCTCGCAGGGTTGGTGGCGCCGCGGGCAGCTCCCGGAATAGAATGTCACTGCGTTCGTGCTGCGCACCGTGGCATTCTGGTCCTGGTAGTCTTTGGTGGGAATGGAGGAAATGGCGGCGAGGCTGTATTCTCGGTTCCTGGCTCCCTGCCTGGCCTGTCGCTTGTTTACCCATCTGGGCTAGATGAGCAGCGAGACGTAAAAAAGAACCATACGTCGTACTCAGGACTTTGCACTTTCCTTAAAACCCTGGGAGTTACCATTAAAATTCAGCCTTTCTGACACTCCTACCTGTCTCATTCTTCCTGCCCAGTATGGTCAAAGGGAGAAGCTGGGTTGGCCTCTCCCTGCCACTGGGCCCCCACTCAGCTCTACTCAGATGTCACCTCCTCTCATGTTCAAAGATCCCCAGAACTGGCCCTTGAATAACCGCATCAAATGTTCTCAGCTCTCCCTTGCTCCTACATAATCCGCAATAAAAAAGAGCGGAAGAGCTGAAGTTCCAGCAAGTGTTCAGTCTAGCTAGGTTGGGGTGCTTATTAGCTACATGACTTTAGCACTGTATCTGGCTCTCGGTGTTCTGTTAAAAGGAAATGCAAACGTGCGTTTTCTTTGTTTGTTTGTTTTTGAGATGCAAATAAAATGTGTAAATACTTATTCCCCTCTATATTGCCTCACATTTCTGTCATACTTTTTAAAAGGTATGTTTTTATTGATTTCAGAGAGAGGAAAGAAGAGGGAGAGAAACAATGATGAGAGATGCCTCCTGCATGCCCCCTGAATGGGGACGTGCCCTGAAACCTGGGCATGTGCCCTGACGAAGAATAAAAAATTAAGATACTTAGGAATAAAGTAAACCAAGAAGGTAAAAGACTTGTACTTGGAAAATCACAGGATGTTGAAAAAAAGAGACAGAGGAAGATAGAAACAAGTGGAAGAATATACCATGTTCTTGGATTGGTAGAATTAACATCATTAAAATGTCCATACTACCCAAAGCAATCTATAGATTCAATGCAATCCCTATTAAAATACCAGTAGTATATTTCACAGATCAAGAACAAATACTAAAAAATATATATATGAAACCAAAAAAGACCCCAAATAAGCCACAGCAATCTTGAGAAAGAAGAACAAAATTGGAGGGATCACCAATACCAGATATCAAGTTATACGCAAACCACTATAATCAAAACAGCATAATACTAGCACAAGAACAGGCATATACACCAATGGAACAGAACAGAGACCCCAGAAACCCACCTGAGCCATTACACTCAATTAATATTTGACAAAGGAGGTAAGAGCACACAGTTGAAATCAAGACAGTCTCTTCAATAAATGGTGTTGGGAAAATTGGACAGATACAAGCAAAAAACAAAAAAAGAAACTAGACCACTAACTTACACCATACACAAGAATAAACTCAAAATGGATAAAAGTCTTAAGCATGTCATGAAACACTAAAAATCCTAGAAGAAACCATAGGCAGCAAAATCTCAGACATCTCCGTAGCAATATGTTTGCGGATACATCTCCTAGGGCAAGGGAAAAAACTAAGGAGAAATGAACAAATGCAATTACTTAAAAAGCTTCTGCACAGCAAAAGAAACCATCAACAAAATGAAAAGGGAGCCCACTGTATGGGAGAACATATTTGGCAATGATACATCTGATAAAGGGTTAATATCCAAAACATATAAGGAACTCATACAATTTAACAAAAAGACAAACAATAAAAATATTCCCAGCTGACCTGGCTCAATGGTTGAGCATCAACCTTTAAACCAGGAGATCACTGTTCGATTCCTGGTCAGGGCACATGCCCAAGTTGCAGGCTCGATGCCCAGTAGGGGGTGTGCAGGAGGTAGCTGATCAATGATTCTCTCTCATCATTGATGTTTCTATTTCTCCCTCGCCCTTCCTGTCTGAAATCAATAAAAATATATGTTTAAAAAATGGGCAAAGAATCTAAATAGACACTTCTCCAAAATGAATATACAAATGGCCAAGAGACATATGAAGAAATGTTCAAAGTCACCAATCATCAGAGAGATGCAAATTAAAACAACAATGAGGTATCACCTCACACCAGTCAGAATGGCTGTCATCAACAAATCAACAAATTGCCCTAGCTGGTTTGGCTCAGTGGATAGAGCGTTGGCCTGTAGACTGAAGGGTCCCAGGTTCCATTCCAGTCGAGAGCACATGCCTAGTTGCAAGCTCAATCCCCAGTAGGGGGTGTGCAGGAGGCAGCCAATCCATGATCTGCTCTCATCATTGATGTTTCTCTCCCTCTCCCTTCCTCTCTGAAGTCAATAAAAATAAATAAATAATTTTTTAAAAGATCAATGGAAACTTATCCTCAGGTGAGGATTAACAAGAAACAAAACAAATCAACAAATGATAAATGCTGGTGAGGATGTGGAGAAAAGGGAACCCTAGTACACTGCTGATGGGAATGTAGACTGGTGCAGCCATCATGGAAAACAGTATGCAGTTTCCTTCAAAAAATTAAATATGGCACTACCATTTGATCCAGTGATCTCAATTCTAGGAAACCCAAAATATCAACCAGAAAAAATGTATGCACCCCTATGTTCATAGCAGCACAATTTATAATAGCTAAGATATGGAAACAGCCCAAGTGTCCATTAGCAGATGAGTGGATAAAAAAGTTGTGGTACAGCCCTAACCGGTTTGGCTCAGTGGATACAGCGTTGGCCTGCAGACCGAAAGGTCCCAGGTTTGATTCCAGTCAAGGGCATGTACCTTGGTAGCGGGCATATCCCCAGTAGGGGGTGTGCAGGAGGCAGCTGATCCATGTTTCTCTCTCATCGATGTTTCTAACTCTCTATCCCTCTCCCTTCCTCTCTGTAATAAAATATATCAAAAACACCAATTTTCAAAGGGCAATAAATGTAATAAATAAATACATACATAAAGAAACTACCCAACTGAATAAATGTACATATTAAAAAAAAAAAAAAGCCGTGGTACATTTACACCACGGAATACTATGCAGCAGTAAAAAAGAGGGATCTCTTACCCTTTGAGACAGCATGGAGGGACCTGGAGAGTATTATGCTGAGCAAAATAAGCCAGTCAGAGAAAGACAAGTATCACATGATCTCACTCATATGTGGAATAATAACGAACAAAAAAACTGATGAACAAAATAGATCCGGAGATATAGAAGCATGGAACAGACTGGAATCTCAGAGGGAAGGCGGGAAGGGAGGGTGGGTGGAAAGAGATCAACCAAAGAACTTGTATGCAGATATGCATAACCCATGAACACAGACAATAGGGTGGTGAAGGCCGGAGGGGGG